GAGAAGTAGTAAATCAATTAAAAACATATAGAGAAAATATCACTGACAAAAGGGTGGTATAAAAAATTCTAATTACTCTACCAGTCAAATATGATCCTATTGTCACGACGAATGAATAAACTAAAGATTTGGATCATTTGTCAGTGACAGAATTAATAGGTTCACTTGAAGCCTATAAAAAAAGACTGAGTATGCGAGCAGGGACGATTATACATATACTAATAGGGGGGCAATTGCCCCCCCTCTATTTTTTTTTTTTTGCACCCCCAGCCCCAGTTTTTTTGTTTTCAAAAGTCAATTAGTAGGCCAACTTGTTAAATAAAATAATAAATAAGTTAAAAGTTAATAGTTAATAGGTAATTAAATATTTAAATCTTAATTATTATTTTTTTTTTATATAAAAAAAACTGATGCAACATATTAGGATTAAAGATGGGCAAAACTGATGGTGGGTTAATGGTGAATTCTTTTTCTATTTTTTTCTAAAACCTTTGACTTTTGTTTTATATTTTAATATTATTTTATTTTGTGTCTTTCTTTTGGTATTGTTGGAAAGCATATTCAGAGATCAAATATTTGCTTTGAGAATTGAGCGAGTTCCTCACCTCAGAAACTCAAAATCGAGCCTCGACTACTGACTATCTCTATCGCCTCAGTTCATCACTTCACCACTTCATCTTCACCTCACCTTCACCGACCCACCTTCGACGTCAGTCGTCTACCGCCCAAGGCCCAACGTAATAATTAGTTTTTCTATTTTCTGTTGTGAGATTCATATGGATTAAAATTGAAAACTTCAAATAATCAAATTTGGAGTTAAAAGTTTTTACTGTTAAAAGTTTGTTCTTTTACTAATTTGTCAATTTGTTCTTGTTCTTGTGTCCCAGCCCCCAGGCTCCAACCCTAATTTTGTTTAAGTGTTAGTTTGAGTTGTCTATATAAATTATTTTGAATGTTGGAATTGCTCTTGCTGACCAAAAATTATTTTTATATTTTGATAAAGGGAGTTAAAAAGTGAATAACCATGGAGAAATTCCTCCTAAAGAGAAAGTCTACAATGATTGAACCTTCAAATCCCCGAGTCAAAAAAGGATATCTGATTTCGAAAATCTTCCAGCTGATCCAGGATTGCGACAACCAATATGGAGTTACGATGCTAATGACAGGGACAGAGTGTGTCAGACATATTTATTAAAGGGCCCATGTCAACCTGTTCTTCACGACTTTCCCCAAACTGAAATGGAAAATGTGAAAAGGAGGTTTGTTGCAAATTGGTTTAAGAAGTATCCTGATTGGCTAGAGTACAACATATCTAAAGATAGTGCATACTGCTTGTATTGTTATCTATTTAAAACATCGGGTAATCAAAGTGGGGGTGATGCATTTGTTAGTGAAGGTTTTAGAAATTGGAGAAAGTTGGAGAAATTTGATCAACATATTGGCAAGCATAATAGTTCTCATAATATAGCCAAATCGAAATGTAATGATCTAACAAATCAAAATCTCACCGAGAGTGTTTCCACTATATTCAGTGGAAAGCAAAACAAGGATAAAGTTGAATATCGAACTCGATTGAATGCAACTGTTGATTGTGTTCGTTTCTTGTTAAGGCAGGGTTTAGCATTTCGAGGCCATGATGAATCTGACACGTCTTCTAATCGGGGTAATTATTTGGAACTTTTTAATTGGCTTGCTGAACATAGCGAACTTGTAGAAAAAGTTTCATTTCATTGTGCTCCTAAAAATTGTCAGTTGACGTCCTCCTCTATCCAAAAAGATATTTGTGTTGCTGCTGCTGCTGAAATTACTTGTGCGATAGTTAAGGATATTGGAGAGGCATATTTTACAATCTTGGTTGATGAGTCTCGTGATGTGTCAGTGAAAGAGGAGATGGCGGTTTCTTTACGATATGTAAATAAAGAGGAGAAGATATTGGAACGGTTTCTCAGCATTGAACATGTTTCGAGCACATCTACAACTTCACTTAAGGGTTCCATTGATCGTCTATTCTCTCATCATGGTTTAAGCATATCAAAATTGCGTGGTCAAAGCTACGATGGGGCAAGTAATATGCAAGGTGAGATTAAAGGCTTGAAAACTCTTATTTTGTAAGAAACTTCATGTGCATTCTACGTTCATTGTTTTGCTCATCAACTTCAGTTGAGTTTAGTAGCTGTGGCAAAATAACATTTTCAAGTTCAATATCTTTTTGAGATCACATCAAAGGTTATGAATGTTGTGGGAGGATCTTGTAAGAGACAAGATATTCTCAGAGCCAAACAACATGAAAAAGTTGTAGAAGCTCTAAGAAAAGGGGAAATTCATAGCGGGCGTGGATTGAATCAAGTAACTAATCTGCAACGAGCAGGTGATACTCGTTGGGGTTCACATTATGGTATTCTAGTTAATCTTGCTTCTATGTTTCAGTCCGTAACTGAAGTACTTGAAATTATTATGGAGGATGGGGCAAGCACCGATCAAAAAGTCGAAGCACGAATGTTATTAGATGCACTGCACTCATTTGAGTTTATATTCATTATGCATTTGATGAAAAATGTTTTGGCAATTACTCATGACTTGTCATTGGCTTTACAAAGAAAAGAGCAGGATATTGAGAATGCTATGAGGTTAGTTTCTATATCAAAACAAAGATTGCAGTCAATGAGAGACGACGGATGGGATGGCCTTTTGAATGAAGTTTCTTCATTTTGTTCTATACACGAAGTCGATGTCCTAAATATGGATGAAAAATTCATAGCTCCTGGTCGTCCAAGAAGAAGAAGTCAAGAAAAAACAAACTTGGTTCATTTCCGTTGTGAATTATTTTATGCTATTTTGGATAAACAACTTGTGGAGCTTAATAGTCGTTTTTCTGAGGCAAATACCGAGTTACTTCTTTGTGTGGGATGCCTCAATCCTAGGGATTCTTTCAAAGCATTCGATAGAGAAAGGCTGATAAGGTTTGCACGGCTTTACCCTAAGGATTTTTCTCCGTATGATATTGTGGTGCTTGATAATCAACTTGAAAATTATATTATGGATGTGCGTACGAGCAGTGACTTTTCGGTGGTTGATGTGATTTCAAACCTTGCTGTTAAAATGGTGGAAACTAGAAGACACGGTGACATACCCTTTGGTCTATATGCTTATTACTTTAGCGTTGACATTGTCGGTTGCTACTGCTAGTGTGGAGTGGCATTTTCTGCAATGAAGATCATAAAAAATCGACTACGCAACCGAATGGAAGATGATTGGCTCAACGCTTGTATGGTTCCGTACGTTGAAGGAGACAACGACAGACCTGAGCCCATTTTCATCGGTTCGCCCTAGATCTGGGCCCATTTCCACCGGTTCGCTCAAGATCTGGGAAGAGACCCATCACTCGATAAATTGTAATTTGAAGAATAATATATAAAATTAAAAAAAAGAGTGTAGAATAAGATGAGAAAAATGAAAATGGGTGAGGGTATTTATAGATTTTTTTTTTGGGAAATTTTTGGATTTTTTCCTTTTTCCTTTTTTTTTTTTGCAAACCGAGCACAAAACTAAAAACCGAGCATTTAAGAAAGTAGATAGAATTGAGAGAGAGAGAGAGAGAGAGAGAGAGAGAGAGATTTGAGCGATGAAAAATGAAATGGGGAGGGGGTTATTTATAGAATTGTTTTTGTTTTTTTTTCTATATTTTATTTATTTATTTATTTATTATTATTATTATTTATTATTATTATTATTATTATTATTATTATTATTATTATTATTATTATTATTATTATTATTATTATTATTATTATTATCATCTGTCAGAAACCTGCTGGGTTTCGGGTCACTGCTGGCGTTTTTGGCCGTTGGATCTCAATGGTCCAATTGATTTAGCGGCCTAAGTGAAAAAAATTAGGGCAATTTACATATGTACTTAACTTATTGCTAAATAATTGTAGAGATATCGAACAAAAAATTTATTTGCACATCTACCTAATCTAACATAAACATTTAAATAAATACAATATTAAAAACATTTTCTCTTCTCTCTCATTTATCTACTCCTAAAAATTTTCCTTAATTATA